GGGACTGGTAGCCAAATTTATAAAGGACTTGTGAGCAAAAGAACATCAGCTGCTGATTTTCTGAAGGCTTATCATCTGTATCTCGCTGCTTGCCCTTTTAGGAAGATGTCTAGTTTTATCTCTAATGTCACAATAAGGGAATCTTCCACAAATTCAGCGAGAGTCCATGTTATAGATTTTGGTATCCTTTATGGTTTCCAATGGCCTACTTTTATTCAGAGACTTTCATTAGCAGTTGGAGGACCACCTAAACTTCGAATTACAGGAATAGACTTCCCACAACCTGGTTTCAGGCCTGCTGAGAGAATTGTAGAAACTGGACGCCGCTTGGCAGCTTATGCTGAATCATTTAAGGTGCCATTTGAGTATAATGCTATAGCAAAAAAGTGGGAAACAGTTCAGCTTGAGGAACTGAAGATTGATAGGGAGGAATATCTTGTTGTCACCTGTTTTTATCGTGGTAAAAATGTGCTTGATGAATCTGTGCTCGTGGACAGTCCGAGGAACAAATTCCTCAGTTTGATAAGGAAGATCAACCCGGATTTATTCATTCATGGCATTACAAACGGAGCCTTTAATGCGCCTTTCTTTGTTACTCGATTCAGGGAGGCACTGTTTCACTACTCTTCACTTTTTGACATGCTTGAAACTATTGTGCCTCAAGAGGACTGGGAGAGGATGCTAATAGAGAAAGAGATTTTTGGCAGGGAAGCATTGAATGTCATAGCTTGTGAAGGGTGTGAGAGAGTAGAGAGGCCAGAGACATATAGGCAGTGGCAAGCCCGGATTCTTAGGGCTGGATTTTCGCAACAATCTTTTGAACATGCTTTAGTAAAGAGGGCAATAGAGAAAGTATCTACTAGCTACCACAAGGATTTTGTTATTGATGAAGATAGCCAGTGGTTGTTGCAAGGTTGGAAGGGGCGGATTGTTTATGCCCTTTCTTGTTGGAAACCAGCATGACTAATCAAGATGGTACAAGTGCATCTCACTAGGGCTTTGCAAATTGGTTTGACTCTTGAGGAGCTCAGGTACTTCTATCATCCACTTTCTCAGTTCTGTCCAACAATGGTGGTTTATTTCATTGTTGTTTGATACATCTTGAACTAACTTCAATTTCATAATTATTCAGGGTGTGTCCAATATAGGGTTCAAGATAAAAGCAAGGGTTCAATCTGAGTTCAGTTGGGGAAAACAGGGTTACTGAATAGCCTGGTATGACAGTAGATAATCCATGTTATTCCTATTGATCATTTTGAATTCCGTTTTATGATACCTCACGTGAGGGCTGTCTTATGATCATGATCCAATCTAATGTGGCGGATGAATTTAGCATGTAACAAGAACAATTATTGCTGTAACTCATTTTGAGCTTCTTACCTTAATATTTCTGATAGTTTACTACTTAACTGAAGATAATGGCTTGTGTATTTCCTCCTAGCCATTAATGTAATATTTACTTTGGGAGTAATGTTGCACACCAGATGGCATGTTGCTATTCCAGCTGTGTCAAGGGCAAAAGTGACTAGGTCCACCTAGCTTTGATGCTGCAATTGGTCAAGTCTGGAAGTGATGTGAAAATTGTAGATCTCTTCACATTTGCTTATGAAGACTTGTTTCAACATTTGACCATAATGGATGGTGGGGCCACTATTTAGAAATTTGAACCCTGTTACTGGTACAGAGTTTCCTTGTTGAATTATTACTGGAGAAACATTTTCTCAATGTATGATTTCATTTGAGGGTTACATTTACTACTTATTTGAACCCGTACTCAAATCTATAGTTGGTCAACATTCATCGTTCACAATTCACCATTTGGCTTTCCCTTTGGTGGATTAGCTGATGAAAGTTGTTTTGTAGAACAGTGGTGGCACGATGATTTGAACACGTTCCTAGGATGCTATTGAAAGCTTTCACCACTAGCTCATTCTTGTAACTTGAAGCTATTGAAAGTGCATCAGAAGAAATTATATTTTATGCATTCTGCTTTCACAATTTGTTAAGGACTTAGTTTTTGATTCCTTGTCCTTGAATAACTGTCTGAACTATAATGTTGCACCTTGTGTTGTCGTGTCATTGAAAGTGTTTGCATAATGTAGAACGTTTACTTTAAACAATTATAGTGGACCCAAAGTCTATTGTTAATGATATAGAGCATTTTATAGTGGTGGACCTCGTAGTGGGGACCTCATGTGTTTGATGCGGCTTTGAAGATTCACACGAGGAATTGAACTTTTTCCTTTTTGTCTTTGGAAAGGTTCTTATAGATTTTACAAGCAAGGTTAGTTGAATGTGGTGCAGGAATCAACTGTTTTCGTAAGGAAAGTTATAGACGTTCATTTCTTTTTGGGTGGATTGAAGGTGAAGTAAGAGATCAGAATAGAGAGAAAGTGATAGATGTGATGCTTTTACTCTCTTCTTCCCTCTTTCTACTTCTCTTATACCAAACAAAATCTAAACAATGATGAAAAGGTGAAACCATTACAAGAATTTGTTACGTTAAAGGATGTGATTTTAGTGTGTTTAGATTAATAATGTATGATTCATGTCTCAGCAAATCATTGAATAAAAAATGCATAAAAAAAACTAACAGTTGCTTCATTCATGCACATAAAAGTTTACTACGGCTTTAAAGCTGTCGTTGAAAACGCTGTCATTAAAAATCATGACAAAATAACTCATTTTTTTCTAAAAACTCGATGGCTCTCGGGCATTGTCGTCATTTGTTGAAGAGAAAAAAAATTAGAAAATAGAGTGAAGATGGTAGAAGGATCAGTCTAGGCAGACACAACAGTGGTCGTGGAGTCAAATGTTCGAACCGCCATCATAATGGACATAAAAATGTAAAATATAACAAACATATAATTATAAAGTCACGACGATTTTGGCTATAACCGTTGTTAAATATGATGTATTTTTAAATAATGTTTACCATTTTGTCTTCCTACAAACTTGTCAAATAGTTCAAAAACATTCAAACAAAAATTTAAATAATTTAAATATCTTAAAAGTTAAACAAAGAACTAACTAAGATATATAAAAGTATTACAAACTAATTTTAACTCAATTTACTCTATATTCTATATTCTTATATTTAAGAAGGAAATGCTTTGTTCATGTTTCTTGAACATAGATTAATGCTTTTTCATTGAATGATTGTTAATCTTTAAAATTATGCCAAAGTTAATTGAGGTTAAAATTAGTATATAAAAGTTAAAAATAAGTTATATATATATATATATATATTACGCAATTAGTAAAAGTTAAACTTACTATATTTTGAAGTTTATCTCCAACACAAGAAAAAGAGAAGGAAAAGAAATTGCAATTGTCCAAGGCGTAGCAGAAAACTAGTGATGCACAATAAAAATAACACTAAGATGACAATAATTGAAAGGTGTGATATAAGTCAACAAACAGCGTGGTTGGAATTTATATACCAGAAAAATTCTTCAATGGAAAAGGTTTGATTATTCTTTGGACATTTTGATGGAACAGAAACATGTCTGATTGATAACTTGACAGACTATAGCGCGTCAATTCCTTGGACATTTCGGAGGTTTCAATTCCTTTCTTGATTGCAATGTTTTATATTCATAACTCTAACTCCTTTCAACAATGGAAAAACATGAGTAGGAATGGATTGAAACAGAATGAAATGAAAGAGTGGAATTAATTTTGTATTGTATAATTGGGATGTTATGATAAAACTCAACTTATTTATTTGATGAAGTAAAATCACTTTTGAAAGTGCAACTGTTATTTTAGTAAATCCTCCACTAAAATCAACTTTATTAATGGAAAAACTTAATATAATCACTCCTTTCAAAGTCAACTTTTATTTCAAATAATGGCAACTAAGATTCTGACAGATGTCATTCTCTCACTGGACAGACAAACAAAATCTTTCTCCTGTCACTCAAATTGGTGGGCACATGTGCCCAGTGTTGAAGTGCATGTGCTTCCGACAAGGTCATCAAGTTGCGATTATCTTAGTAAATAATAAGATTTACCTATTTATTTACTCCATTGTTTCTCATTTTAAAATAAATCCCTTGGCAAAAACAAACCTCTAATTTTTTTTTTTAATATCTACATACTTTCTTAAAACTACAACTTAATTATTAGTCCAACAAAATTTAACAACAGAATTTATTTGGTGTATGTTTTACACATTCATAGACCAAATTTAATTTTTTTTTTTCTGGAAGTGTTCTCACCAGGTATCAAAACCTAACTGCTTATGGGATCTGAACTTACACAAAACTTATACTCCTGTAGTGATTAAAACTTTAAATAAAACCTAACTGTTAATGGGATCTGAACTTACACAAAATTTATACTCCTATTGATTAAAGCTTTAAATAAAGTTAAATTTTTAAATAAAGGTTCAAGGTGTAAAATAATAAGTTTAATTTATTATTAAAATTAAATATATTTTTATTTTTCTAAACTTTGACGTGAAATAAAAGTTTATTCGTATTTTAAATTTTGATATAATTTAATTTTTAGAATTTAAAAATAAATATAGTTCTTCAACTTCAAATTTGTTATGTATCAGTAAAATGAGATAATATTTGAGTTTGTTTATATTATTCTGATAAATTCCAACTCAAGTATTAATCTAAGATATCTTTTAACAAGTTAAAAAAAAATTAACATAATTATGTCTATTATTAAAATTTGAAGAACAAAATATATAAGAGTTTAGGATATAAATAAATTTCAATTTTGCGTCAAAATTTAAAGAATAAAAATAAATTTAATTCTAATTATTGTTATTATTAGGACTGTATTTTCTAATAAGATGGTCGGTGTTACAAACCAGGAAACATCAGAAGAGTCGAGATACAGACAGTTCAGTTTTGTTCCTATAAAAACTACTTTTATAATTTTATCATATCATGCAATTGAAACATTCAACAATATACATGATCCGCTGAGAGTGACAGCATGATCCGCTGATTACTAGACATTGTTTTTCTCAAGGCCTGCAGTAGCAGCGAAGTCTATAATTTGCATTAAAACAATTCTTTAATAAATTGCCAAGAAATAAAGTAAGTATGCTTTGGTTCAATCCCATATGCAGACAAGAAGGATCTATGGACCATGACAACAACATTCAAAACTAAAACCGAGTACTGATCTGGGAAAATAAAGCCTTAAAGTCCTTTGTTGGTGAACCAGCTCCCTCAGGTTTTGATGACAAGTCAAATGCCTTGAATTTGGCCTCCTCATAATTTAGTGCCTGTTAAACCAATTGAATGAAGGGGCATCAAAATCTGAGAATTGACAAGTGATTTAAAAATGGTGGATATTTTATTTTGCACTATGTTTCTATGCAAAGTTAATGATATAATTAATAATATACCTGAATGCAGACTTCAGCAACATCAGCTCTACTTATGGTTCTGGTTTCTGTCTTGAGAAGCTCATCATCCTTCCCTACAAGCAGTTCCCTAAGCCCTCCATCTTTGTCTTGCAAGCCACCAGCCCTGACTCAGTACAGAAAGTGTGAAAAGATTGCAAAGTTAAAAAAGAGAAATAGAAAGATATTGAAGATATTCTCATTAGAAAGGTGAATAGAGAAAACAAGTTCCATCTAAATATCAAAATGATATTGAAGATAAGTAACCTTTATTAGGTTGCATATCCCTGAGACTAAAGAATTATCACATTTTGATACTTGTGTATAATTAGAGTTATAGAGTAACATTAGCATGTAATATATAACTTATATACATCTAATGCTTTGTTTATCGTCCATTAAAAGTATAAGGGTGGCTTATAGTTTCCAAAACATCTATCTTGACTTCATAGATCTTACATGGATCTCTAACTCCTAAGGTGCACTGAGTTGTATTTTTACTTCTCTTTATTCCAATTTTCTTTCCAATTATGTTCTATAGACTTCCATTGGCAAGTTTATACTTGTCTATTTTGATAATATATTGATCTATAGCAAATTTTGAGAAGTGCCTCTTTACCATCGAGAGGTAAGGTAACTTTCATAGGTTGTGTATATCTTGCAAAGGAATTAGCGTAGATCCAACTAAGGTTCGGGCTATTAAACTATGGCCTTCACTCAATTCTCTTCAAGAAGTTCAGGGTTTTCATGGCCAAAATATCTATCTAGCAGCAAAATCATATCAGTGTTTTGGACAGTTATTGCTCCTATAACCAAATGCTTTAAAGGAGAAACATTTAAGGGAACTCAGGCATATAAGTTGCAAATTCTTTAAAAGAGAAAATGATAAAAGCACCCATTAATATTGGACTTCAACAAAGTATTTTAGAACATATCAAGTTGTGAGGCTAAACATTCAGGACTTGGTAATGTTCTTTCTCGGGAAGGAAAATAATTTTCCTACTTTAGCGAGAAATCGGATGTTTCAAAGAGAAACCATTTAATCTATGACAAGGAATTCTGTCAAGTATTGACAAACTAGAGGCGTGATTTAATTTCAAAAGCTGTTCATCTTATTATTTTCAGACCATTAGGCATTAAATATGTATGAATGAACAACATAAGATCAATAAAAGTCTTGAAAAGAGAGTAGAATTCCTTCAAGCCTATTCTTTTTTTATCAACACAAGGTGTTGATAATGCTTAGTTTCATTAGTTACATTAGTGTGGGTAGTAAAAGTCAATTCGATAATGTTTAGTCAACATGGTGTGGTGAGGGTTTTCCTACACTAATATAACTACAGGAACATAAGCCCAGGGGTAAAGGGAAAGGAATATTCTCTTTTGAATCTCTTTTTCATTCTCATAGGTGGCATCAATGTTTCGATTTCAAGTTCACTAAGATAGCATTATTATAGTCAATTACTATATATGAAATATTGTCTGGTTTGGAAATCAGTGGCTCCATCATGATTTTGACCTTGAAAGGTTCATCAGTAGGTTAAATGAGGAAGGTGCATATAAATAGTCCTTGGACTAGACTCCTTAGCAATGTAAAACGTTTGGGCTACCGAAACATGGTATATCCATTAACAACATGAGATCAATAAAATTCATGAAAAGAAGCCAATTCCTTTGTGCTCAACACAAGTTGGATAATCAAAATTAATTTGATCATGACTTGTCAAAATTGGATAGGTGAGGATTGTCTCACGCTAATGTAACTACTTCTGCCATATTATTAGTTGACGAGATCTCTAACACACTCTCACTTAAGGATTAGGCATTTTGAGCACAAAATTTGCAAGACTGAATATCCATTGCCGGTCTTATAATGATAGTAGGTTATAATGACAGCAGGTGGCCTGAGAAATCACTAGAATATGTTCTAATACTATCTTAACATTTGAATTGGAGTGAAGATTTCCCTCTACATACACTACTTTAACCTTAAAATGTATATGTCAAAGTGGAATCTCCAGCAAAGTTCTCATGGAACTCTTGTAGGACGACCTATATTTTTTATGAGATTTGGAATGAATGCTCTAAGAGAACTTCCAAAGATTCCTCTTTACAAAATATGTTCCTTCTCAAAAATAATGGATTGTTTGTTCCACAACGTTCAACATGTGAAACAATAATGTAAACAACACATAATGGAGTTCTTGAGGCTACTTTGAGCTGTTTCTGTTATTCAAGCAAATCTTATTGGCCTAGGATGGATTTTGCTATTATTAGGCACAGAAAGTGATCTCTTACTCGTCACATCCAAAGGTCGTGCTCAAAATACAAATGTATACTTTATACCCACATCTAGTTTCTTTTGCCCTATGGGAAGATGCCAATAATGATTTCATGGTAGGATTGCCAAAAGCTCAAAGCAACCAAAATTCAAATATGCTATGAATTTTAGGATCTATTTTTAGCAAACTCTATGGAAGAAACCACAATTCAGTTCTTTGCATCAGCCACAAACACACAGGCAGAAGAAGATACTTCTATCGTTTGTGATTCATGAACTCTTTAAAAGCAAATGCAAGGTACAGATTGAACACTTCTCAAGAAAAGCTCGAGATCACAATTTGATGACATCGATGTTTACCATTAACACCAAAAATTTGGTGACATGGAGATCACATTTTCTTTCCTTGTCAAAAAAACTAACACCAAAAATTCAGAAGTGTTCTGCCAGACAACCAGGTATGAAGATAACATTATAGTGTTGATTTATAGTGTTTCTGATGCAGTTTGGGTTATGGGGCTAAAGGTATCAACATTTTATTTAAAATACCATTCCAAGGTAACAGTCAAGCAGTCAATAATTTTATAGATTATTCCAACTAAAAGGCACTCATATAAAGAAGAAACCTAGCTGTCATATGTCTCAATAAGGACGAGAAATAGTGTACCTTATAATTGTATATGGGATGCCAGAATCTGCCAGATACTGCTCTGCCTTCCTTTTCCAAACCTGCAATCAATGCAGGAGAAGTAAAAAATGCTATACATTTACCAAACTTGCATTTTGCATTAAGATGAATTGCAAGCTCTAATCATATAAAAGCAAGGCAAGAATGTATGGAAGAAGGTAATTCAGAAGTAAAAGAGAAAATATTACTAACCAATATATTTCCATTACCCAAGCTATTCAAAGGATTGTTAAGGTCTGTTCCACCCATAGACCCTACCAACACAATATGCTTCACTCCAGCATCCTTAGCTGTAAGTTCAATATTGTAAGCATGTAAGTTTATCACAAAACTTCAAAAAATGTTTGCATTACAATCTATGATTAATGGAAAGAACACAGGGGCTCTCACCAGCATCTATTTGATTTTTCTGCCCGATCCAGTCAACCTAACAGGTACAAATCACCAAAATATGAATAAAAAAGGAGATATATTTAAAAGTAATTGAGAGTTAGACAGAAACTGAAACAGTACCTGTTCAGGATATGCACCATCTTCAAAATAGAACTCTGGTCTTTGTCCCCTGGTTGGATCAAACCCAGGTTTGATCAGTGGCACTGCACTTGTGAGGATTATGAGAGCATCTATACTTTCAATTGCAGGAACAATGCTTCCGACATCCCTTATATCCCCAACAAAAACGTCATCTGCTGCACCAATGTTCTGTTTGCTTTCTTCTGTTCTAACCAGACCTCTTGCCACATACTGGTTTGGCCTCTCTTTCAACTTTTTGTAAACTATTTGTCCTGAAAAGTAGCATCAATCCTTAGTTATTGGTAAAAACCACAGTAACTATCCTATTTCGGCTATGCCGACAAATGCATATAGTCTGCAAATACCATAATGTTATGACTGTCCTTGTATTTGGGCTATTGAAAACAGAATTATAGTATGGTCAAAATATAAGTCATAAATTACAACTTTTTAGATACGTAGAGTGATTTCTGTTACAAGCCTAGAAAGTTGAACCTACATATCTCCATAGCGTGTCCAGTCAAGAAAAAATTTGTAATCTTACAAGTAATAACATGCCAGAAAGAATCATATATGATTTACGCAACAGGCCAACATCATCCAAGAATCTTAATCACTTGAGACTAATATAACAAAAAAATTTATATTATGTAATATGTAGATCACACACCATAGTCCATACACTATCCCTATTCAAATCAGAATCGTGCATCAAAATCAAATCCAAATACCGTAATCCTCTTTTATTTTGAAAAGAAAAACCTTTCAAAACCCATTTTAGCATAGTATCAAGTCTGAGTACTGTACACTTTGTCTACAAGGGTTTTACTATATAGTTTTTTCCACATTGTATCCCAATGTTTAATTTAATGAAATGCAGCACGAGACAAATGCCTAATAACAGAACCCATAAAACAAAACCAGCATTTTCTCAGTTAATGACAATTTTGCAACATTAATCCTAAGTAAAAAGATACTCAATCCACCTAAAGCAACGGAACTCATATTCCAGTTTTAGTTCTCTCTCCTGAGCAAGGAAAAGAAAAAGGAATCTGAACAATACAGATGAAAGCATAAAACAGACCGTTAAACTCCACATCTTTCATTTTTCATAACCCAAAAAACAGAAAAAGCAAATCCCGAAACACCATTTTCTGGTCCAAAATCCGAATTCTTTCCACGCCAAGCCAGAAAAACAACAATTCAGAGAAAACCCATCAAAACACAAACCAAAAAGGCCTTACCTGTGCGACCACCAGCTCCAGTGACAAGCACCGTACTCTTGGCACTTTCCGCCATGGCCACAACACGAAACTCTCTCGTCACCCTATTAACACCCTCTTCGTTCCTCTTCTTCGCAAGAGAAAAGAAACCCAAAGAAGAAGAAGAAGAAAGAGAGTGAGCGCGAAGCCTTAATGAGGAGGAAGAAACCGGTAGAGGAAGTGACGGTGGCAGCTCGCAGTATTTATGGCATTGATTAGGGGCGGTGGCAGCGCAGACAAAGGGAACACGTGTTGCCATACCCATCATAGTAGTTGACATAGTTGCATGGTGGCGAAGGTGAAAAGTTTAGAACTTTACAACAGGGAAGGATGATGGATGATGCAATAACGGTCACTGCAGAAACCAAACACTGTTAGGGTGGTTGTCGCGCCTCAGTATTCGTTGAGCTTTAATGTGTGTTACATTTGAAAAGTGTAGTTTCCTTCTGTTACAGATTTTCTTATCCATTTACCTTATCTCCGACTATAACGTCACCTGTGTAATTTCATTTAGCCCCTCTTCTTTTTTATGGAATTTAAGAGAATTTAAAAATAATTTTTTTTATCGTTTATTTAAGTGAATTTGGAGGTAAACGAGATTAAATTTATAAATAAAATCGTGAGAGTTAGTATAGAATTGTATTGACATGACAATTAAAAAAATTTATTTTCAAATTCACTTTCGTCTACCTCCAAATTCACTCAAATAAACAATAAAAAAATTTATCTTCAAATCCATTCCCTCAAATCCACTCAAAAGAACAAGCCTTCGTTTTTTGTACGTGTTAAGTTAAGAATAAATATTTATTTATTTTTATCACTATTCTGTTTAAGGATAACTACTTTCTTCATCTCTAATAAGTATTTAGATATTTTATTTTAATTAAATAAAATAATTAAAATCTTATAATTTCATTAACAGTAAATATGTTTAAGCATACATTCCATTTTTATTAAGTGTGATGTATTTATTAAAGAAAAAATTAACGTTAATATATGATTAATTTTAAAATAGTATTAGTTTTAAATGCATGTCTATCCGATTGGTGTTTGTTTGTTCATTTATAAAAAAGTTTAGAAATTAAAGAAAAAAATAATAAATATTTTTGAATTTATAATTAATTTTTGAATAAATCTTAAAAGTAATTTATAGGTTTAAAAGTCAATATATTTATAGAAATATAAATAATATATTTTATAAAAATACAAAGATAGAATATATGCAAAAATACAATAAATTATCTAAAAAAATATAAAGGATATGTATAAATACACAGAGTTAACATGCTAAAAATATAAATAAGTGTATGAACATACGTACTAATGTATTGTATATTGCGACTCGTCTAATCAATGTTTTGACAAACTTATTCAATATGTGTTGTTAAACTCGTCTAATCAGTATGGATATAACCGTTCAATGAGTATTAATATATTCATCTAATATGTGTATGAACACACTTGTCTAACGTATATTGTTAGACTGGTTTAACAAGTGTATAAACAAACTCGTCTAATGTGTGTTGTAAGACTAGCTTGATGAGTGTGTGGACATACTCATCTAATCAATGTATGGAATTACTTATCTAATATTTTGTGCTATATCCAATCAGTATATGGATAAACTGGTCTAATGTATATTGTTAGACTTGTGTAACATTTTTTTGCTATACTCATGTAATCACCGTATGAACAAACTCATTCAATGTGTATTTCAAGATTAATCTAATAAGTAAATGAACTACTTGTCTAATGTGTATTAATAGACTTGTCTAATTTGTGTAACATATATTGGTAAAGTCGTTTAATCATTATATAAATGACTCGTCTAATATGTATTGTTGTACTCATCTAATTTTTTTACTTTTGCTCATTTAGTCAATGTACTCCTAAACTTATGTAATAATTTATTATACTCATCTAATCAACAAATGAAATGAATTGTAATAATATTTTTTGTTATATTCGTCTAATTATTGTATGGATAGTCTCATGCAAATGTTTTGCTATATTCTTCTTATCAATGTATGGGAAGACTCTTTGATGTGTATTGCTAGACTCTTCTAATCAATATATCAACAAATTCACCTAATATGTATGGTTAGACTTGTTTAATCAATATACAAACACACTCGTATAACATGTATTATTAGACTCGTTTAATTAGTGTATATTTAAATTTGTATATGTGTATTGCAAGACTCGTCTAATTAGTGAGTAGACAAACTCATCTAATGTATATTAATAAACTCGTCTAATTTGTGTATAAACAAACTTGTCTAATGTATACTGCTAGATTTGTCTAATCAATGTATAAACATACTCATCTAGTGTTTGTTGCTAGAGTTTAATTAGTATATGGACATAGCTTTCCAATCAATGTATGTGCATACTCATTTAATGTGTATTGCAAGACTTGTTTAACCAGTGAATGGACAAACTCATCTAATGTGTATTAATAAACTTATATGATTTGCGTATAGACAAACACACTTGTGAAATTTTTATTGCTAGACTTGTCTGTTCATCATATGGACAAACTTGTCTAGTGTTTGTTGCTAGACTTGTTTAATTAATATATGGAAATACTCATCTAATGGATATTTCTAAACTTGTCTAATCAATGTATAAAATGATTCATTTAATGTTATTTTCTATACTTGTCTAGTGATTCTATAAACAAACTTATCTAATGTATTCGATTAAACTTGTCTAATTAGTGCATCTACAAATTCGTTTAATATTTTGTTTATACTCATCTAATCAGTGTATGCTTAGACTCGTCTAATATTTATATGGAATACTTATCTAATGTTTTTGTTATACTAATATAATTAATGTATGGACATACTTCTTTATCATGTATTGCTAGACTCGTCTAATAATTGTTTTTATAATCGTTTAATCAATATATGCACAAACTCATTTAATGTGTATATTGTTAGACTCATAAAATTTTTTGCTATATTTGTCTAATGTATATTGTTAGACTCATAATGTTTTTTGTTATATTTGTCTAATGTATATTGTTAATATATATTTATAGACTCAAGTAATGACAATATAAATACATTTGTGATATATTTTAAAACAATTAGTTTGTTAATTTTTTCTATTCGATTTTACAATAGTTTCAAACTATACATTTTCAAGTTAAATAAAAAGTGAATTCCAAAAATATAAAACAAAATTTATATAATTAAGATGTACGATTTTTTTATTATAAAATATCTAATTTAAACCTTTGAAATCAACTATGTATAATATTTTAATTTATTATATTATAAATATATTTATTTAAAATCTCATGTCGATTTTATGTATATATGATTAATGCCATCTTTTTTTCTTAAATAAATATCAATTTAATTTTTAAATACTAAAAATATGAAAAATATTCAGTGATAAAAATATTTATATTATAAATTAATTTAAAAAAGATAAATGTAATAATTTTAAGACAAATTATTATGTTACAATTTATTTTATATTATAATGTAAATTATTTGTATTAATTTTTAAATAATATTATTTTAAGAAATAAAAGTAAAATATTTTTTTTAATTTTATTTTATTAATGATCAAGTAATTAGAAATCACAAAAGGATAGAATTAAAAATAAAGAAAATAGTAAAAAAAAGAATTAATACTTTAAAATTACGTTATTTTTATCTAATATTTTTTTTGTTATACTCCTTTTGTGTTTATTGTTAGATTCATTTAATTAATATAAAAATAAAATTCAATAAAGTAACATTATATGTAACATCCAATTTAATAGAATAATCTACTAAACAAAATATCATATGTTTTAATATTATATGTTTGAACCTAAAATACAAATGAAGTATCTCATGAAGTTTGTATCTACTCATAAAACATGATTCAATAGTAATTTTAAGGCTCTTGAACTTAATGCATAATTTCGCTAGTTAAGGATTTAAGGAATTGAAACTTAATGAGTTATCATTAGCTCAAAGTCACTATGAATTGTGAACTGATTTTGATATGAAATATGAATTGAGATGATTGTGAATGAATAAGAATGAAGTAGATGAAATATATTATTGACAATTATAAATACTTTGTGTTATTTTTCTGTCATACACCGTCTATTTGATAAAACTATAAAAAGAAGTTTTTTAGGATTGTTGTAAACTTGTTGTTTAAATTGATTATTGAATACAAAGATTGTCATGTATTTTACAAGTTGCTTGAGAAAAACAATATGTTATTTATTACTTACTACATCTAAATTGTGAAAGATACACTTACCATTTAAGAACTTCATTATCTATAAACAAATACTAAAAAATATGCTTAAAAATAATATTAAATATGCTTTTAATAAAATATTGAGTTCTAAAAGTACCAAAATCTTACCAAAAATAATAAAGTTAGTTAATCTTAATCAAACTATCCACCTACTTTACAAAATTTATTTGAATTCTCAAAATATTTATATACCTATCCACTCTCAAAGTATATAAAACTATATCTATCAATCATCAACTAAAACATATTGATAATCTTATGAATGGTCTTTAAATTTTTATTTTATTTTATCATTTATAGTATAAATCACAACAAATCTCAAACAAAAAATTATTTATCTTGTATCCTGTTAGTAACAATTCTTCTCAAGGTCATACTGTTAAGACTCTGAGAATATAGTGATGCAATTTAAGTTTTTGTGAAAAACTGCACATTTATTCAGATAATAAAGATGGCGTTTATAAGCCTTTACAAAAGAAACTGAAAGAAAAGAAACTGACTAACAACCTACGTGAATAGTGGACGAAAGAATAGCACCCCTATACTTATTCTTCCTAAAAATCAGGGTGCAGTTATTTAGCAAATACTTAAAACATAAAATAGTTAACAATCCCTCCCTTAAGCTTTCAGCTTATTTCAGTAGCCTCCAACACTCCAAGCATACGTCTGATCTTTTCAAATTGATCTAACTTGAAAGCTTTTGTCATTATATTAGCCCTGGGCTTTGTTAGGTTTTGGAAAAAATCTAGTAGACCCTGGGCTTGAACCAAGAGATATAGTGTGAGCTTGTGTCTAGGAATGGAACATGACCCATTACTTGTCTAAAACCCTAGTGATAAAAGGATTAATGCTTAGTGAGAAAACCTAGGTTCTTTCACCTAAGGGATTAGGGCTAGAGTGTTTTAGTGGGTTGACATTAGTGTTTGATGGAGAGAAGATGATTTTGTGTGTGTAAGAGAGTGAATTCGGTGAAATCCACCCATAACAATGTCATTTCATACCAATTTTGACCTTTCCCCGCTCCTAAGTGTCTCCAAATGCCAAAGACCATCTTTATTCTTTATGCATTTATTTACTTATATTTTTTGAATCATTCTATAATCTAGATGCGTTACTGTTGTATAATTTTTTAATATTACACGAGTT